TCAATAGATGGCTTTTATCAGATTGAGGTAGAGACCATCTATTCCAATTTTTTGTAGGGTTTTTATCATAAATGCGTGTTGGATTTTGTCAAATGCTTTTTCTGCATCAATTGAGATGATCATATTTTTTTTGTCCTTGGCTAAATTGATATAGTGTATTACACTGATTGATTTGCATATGTTGACCCATCCGTACATCCCTGGGATGAATCCCACTTGGTCAGGGTGTATGATCTTCTTGACGATCTGCATTCTATTTGCCAGCATTTTATTAAGGATTTTTACATCTATGTTCATTAGTGAGATTGGCCTATAGTTCTCCTTTTTGATTGGGTCTTTCTCTGCTTTGGGGATCAAGGTGATACTTGCTTCTAGGAATGAATTTGGGAGTACTGCTTCCCTTTCAATTTCATTGAAGAGTTTAAACAGTAATGGCAGTAGTTCCTCTCTAAATGTCTGGTAGAATTCAGCAGTGAAACCATCAGGATCTGGGCTTTTCTTAGTTGGTAAGTTTTTAATTACATTTTCAATTTCATTGGTTGATATTGGGTTGTTTAAAATTTTTAGGTCTTCTTTGTTCAACTTTGCTAATTCATACATATCTAGGAATTTGTCCATTTCTTCCATATTTTCCATCTTATTGGCGTATATGTTCTGAAAGTAGGTGTTGATGATCCTCTGGATTTCTGCTGGGTCCACTGTAATTTCATTCTTTTCATTCCTAATTGCATGATTTGGGCCTTTTCTTTCCTTTTCTGATAAGGTTGGCTAAGGGTTTTTCAATTTTGTTTATTCATTTGAAGAACCAATTCTAGGCTTTATTGATTTTGTGTATCATTCTCTTAGTCTCCATTGCACTGATTTCTGCCCTGATCTTTATAATTTCCTCCCTTGTATGGGCTTTGGGTTTGTTCTGCTCTTCTTTTTCTAGAAGCTTGAGGTTCAGCATAAGGTTGTTTAATTGGGCCTGCTCTGTTTTCCAAGTATGAGTATTCACTGCTATGAATTGGCCTCATAAGACTGCTTTCATTGTGTCCCATATATTCTGATATGCTGTATTGTCATTGTCATTTAATTGAAGGAACTGTCTGATTTCTTCTTTAATTTCTTCTGTGACCCATTGGTTATTCAGAAGTATGTTGTTCAATTTCCATGTGTTTTTAAAATTCTTGTGGTTTCTTTTGCTATTGATCTCCAATTTCATCACACTAAGGTCTGATGATATACAGGGGATAACTTCAGTTCCTTTGCCCTTCCTTAAAAATGTTCTATGAGTGAGTATGTGGTCTATTTTGGAGAACAACCTGTGTGCATCTGAAAAGAATGTGTATTCTGATTTTGTGGGGTGAAACACTCTGTAAACATCTCTTAAGTTCATTTGATCAAGGGTTTGATTGATTTCTAGTATTTCATTGTTTATTTTTTGTCTAGTTTGTCTATCTATTTGTGACAGTGGGGTATTAAAGTCCCCCATTACTATTGTATTAGTCCTTATTTGATTTTTCATGTCTATTAGTATTTGTTTTATATAGTTGAGCGCACTACTGTTTGGTGCATATATGTTTGATTGTCATCTCTTCTTCTTGGATTGTTCCCTTTACAGGGATGTAGTGTCCTTCTTTATCTCTCTTA